GTGGAGGTGCCCCCTCATGGATCACTGCCTTGTCGTGGCGAGGGGGCTTGCGCGGTTCGATGAAGCTGTGGGCTATGCTGTGAAGGGCCACCCAAGATGGACAGGCCACAGCAGAGAACTCGGACCAAGTGTGATCCCCTGGAGAAGGAAATGGCAACCCACTCCAGTATTTTTGCCAAGAAAACCCCATGGACAGTATCAAAAGGCTAAAAGATATGACGCCGGAAGATGAGCCCCTCAGGTTGGAAGGTGTCCAATATGCTACTGAGGAAGAGCAGAGGGCAAGTACAAGTAACCCCAGAAAGAGTGAAGCGGCTGGGCCAAAGCCGAAAGGACGCTCAGTTGTGGATGTGTCTGATGGTGAAAGGAAAGTCCGATGCTGCAAAGAACAATACTACATAGGAACCTGGAATGTAAGATCTATGAATCAAGGTAAGCTTGACGTGGTCAAAAATGCGATGGCAAGACTGAACATCGATATCTTAGGAATCAGTGAACTAAAGTGGACAGGAATGGGCGAATTTAACTCAGAAGACTATTGTATCTACTACTGTGGCCAGGAATCTCGTAGAAAAAATAGTGTGGCCTTTATAGTCAACAAGAGAGTGCAAAAGTCAGTACTGGGATACAGTCTCAAAAAAGACAGAATGATTTCTGTCCGATTCCAAGGCAAACCATTCAACATCACAGTAATCCAAGTCTATACCCCAACCACTGATGCAGATGCAGAGGAGGCTGAAGTGGACCGGTTCTATGAAGACCTACAACACCTCCTAGAACTAACACCCGGCCCCTAACCCACAAGAACTGATATTTTTTTTTAGAAATAAAACTGGGGGGGCCCCTCCAAAACAGACAAATGAAGGGAGCAAATGAGGGGGGGCTCCAAAACAGACAAATGAAGGGGGGATTTTGGAATTAAAAAGCATGCGACACAATTTAGCAAATGGCTTTGCAGACAGAATCACTGTACTGACTAGCAGGCTTGGTGTATCAGGTACCAGAAGTCAGGCAAGGCAAAGTCATTCAGTCCAAAGATCAAGGTTCCAGAAAGCCAGGCAAGGCAGAGTCAGTGGTTGAGCATCTATTGTATGTGTTACGTCCATGCCTAACAACCTCCCCTGGCTGATTTTTTATAGTCATACGCTTATGGGTCATGCTTGCAGCCAGCTGCTCGGGAGTAATCCTGCAAGTCTTGGTTATCAGCAAACAGCTGGCATCAGGCCAGGAAGCATGCACTTTGCTGTCTCTCCTGTAGCTCAGTTCTTAGCTTTCATCTCCAGTGCCCTAAGGGTGTGGGTGATACTGGAGGGCTGGAAACAACCAACTGAGTTTCACCTCCTGAATCAGGGCTGGAGGGTGTTGGTGGCTCTGCACCAGCTGTTGGCTGTGAATCCTGACAAGCGTGCAGCTCATCTTCCTGCTTGCCGGCTTCTGCTGACTCAGAGCTGGCCACACAGGGCTCCTCCTGAGGAGTCCTCGCTATTGCTGAGCCCTGGCTGACTTACGACAATCACATTCTTAAAGGCTTTAAAATGCAGTGTTTTCTTGTGGGCAAAAATATAGTTTTATATTTCCAGAAAAGACTATTCTGTGGGTTGTGATTGGCTTAACTGATACACGTGCTGATGGGGCAGTGCCTGTTGCACCACTGGCAAAGTCTGGAAGAGAACAGCACCTCTCCCAGAGTAATGACATTTTGAATTACTTTTAATCGAAATATTTTATCATTTATTAGGGAGGTGGCATGTAGTATTTTAAAGAAGCAATGAGTATCTCCTTCCTGCAAAGGACTGAATACAAAAAAAGGATTCAGGTAGTGTAAAGAAGAAGAAGAGATTAGATTTATACCCTGCCCTTCACTACCCAAAGGTGTCTCAGAGCGGCTTACAAACTCCTTTCCCTTCCCCTCCCCACAACAGACACCCTGTGAGGTAGGCAGGGCTCAGAGAGCTCTTGACAGAAACTGCTCTTTTTCAAGAACAGCTCTTATCAGAGCTACGGCTTGCCCAAGGTCATCCAGCAGCTGCAAGTGGAGGAGTGGGGAATCAAACACGGTTCTCCCAGATTAGAGTCCGCGCACTTAACCACTACATGAAACTGGCTCTGTCTGAAAAGAATTAGAAATCTAGTCTAGTGCCAAAATTGGAATAATAGGTAATTTGTTTTGTTGCTGAAATTTAGCTTATCCACCACCTACCCCATACTGAATGTTGATTACATTCAGGCATCACACCAAGTCATGATTAAACCTTGATTTGGTTGTGATGTGTGAACTGATCAGCTGTGATATGTGAAACATGACTTGTGATTAGGCAGCAAACAGAATTGTAAACTGTGATTTGAAAAGTCTTTGCAAACCGTGGTTTGTGATCATTTTGCTTCAGCACTTCTGAATTTATAAAACATAGTTTATGACTGGCGCGGAAAGCATGACTTGAAATGTTTCTGCAAATCCTGGCTTGTTCCCAGATATGGAGTATTGTCTCAACTGCCCAATCATAGTTGCATCTGTTGTGTGTTCAGATGTTCCAGAGCCAAAGAAGTGGGAGACACTGAAAACAAACAAGCTTCTCTAAATTGTCTGTTTGCTCGTTGTCCACTTGGAGGCTCAGGTCGTGGTTTAGAATCCAAGCTATAGTAACCATATGCCAGTTGTAATTTTGCTGGATATCTGAACTGAGCGAGCCCTTGAGTTCCCTGTTACAAAATCACTAACTTGAGGGGGATTGCATCCTTGTATACTAGCAGATTTTCAGGGTTTTCTTTTTGTTTATGGCTAAATCCCATAGGACTTTATTTAGGATTGTTTCTCCTGTACCATCATGTCTGTGTACTACAATCCACATGTAGGCCTTGCTCTGTATACTCCCTCCTTCTGTGGATAGGCAGGTGATAGCTGGCAAAGCGTACTAATGGTACCCAATCAATTTCTACAGGGGTTTGTTTGGAAAACCACTCCCCCCCCTTTTTTTTAACTCTGGTCCCAAGTCAGTTTTAGTTTAGTGTTTGTTTGGTGGGAAGATACAAAGGTTTTATTATCATATTCACTGCCACTGTTTCCAGATTCTAGTTCATTTCACTGTTTATTTTAGAGTCTTTTAATGTTCATATTATCTATTTTCCCTAAATATTACATTAACTGCCTTGATTTACTTCTGTAGAAAGATGGAGTCAAAATATATGTATTTGTGCTATTAAAAATGGTCTTCTTTTAAAAGATATATGCTAAAGGATGTCTACCTGTTTCCTCTCTTTGCATAGGTACTTGGAAGAGAGGTGTACACCTCCAACAACCAACTAGGTGGGATTCAGATCATGCACAACAATGGGGTGACTCATACCACAGTCTGCGATGACTTTGAAGGTGTCTACACAATTCTCCAGTGGCTGTCGTATATGCCAAAGGTCAGTGTTTCTTTTTGTCCTGATGCCAGTAATACAGCAGCTGCTGTCATCTTTTTGTGGCTGTCCGGCTGGCCTCTGGATCAAGCTCTGCAGAGGCCGCAAAAGACTGCGCAGGAGCAGAGGCGCAAGGGTTGGATGTGAATCGGACACTGTGGCTGGTGGGAATCCCAGGTCTAAAAAGCTAGTGCCAGAAGCCAGGAATTTGAGATAGGTTCTTTGCACTGAGAATGGTGTAGGGATGCCAGTCCCTGGGGATGGGGGGGAATTTGGGGGGAAGCCCGCCCCCAACAGTTCTCCGCACCCCCATGCACGTCTGCCCAACAAGCCGCAAAATCACGGCTTACAGGCCAGGTGCACATGGAGCCCACTCTACATGACATTATCACATCAGGGATGGCCCCGCCCCTTCCCAGAATGCCACCCAAATTCCCCCGCCGGGGAGAAGATACAACCTGTCGACCCTAGAGTGGTGGCTGAGAACATCTTGTGGGTCCCAAAGGCAGGAGCACCAGAGTGAGCCAGGGAGAAGCTTTAACCCCCTGACCGATTTCACACGAGAGCTGCGCCATTTGCCCCGCTTCTGTTGGTCAATTTCCCACTCGAAGCCACACGGCCGCATTTTGGCCGCATTTTTACCCTCTTGGTAGCACCCCCCCCCGGAGGGGTTATTCCCCCCCCCCGAGTTCTCAGGTGGTCCAGGGAGAGGCTTTAACAACATTGGATGTCCTGACTGCTCTCCTGTGACCTCGTCTAGCTGCTGAGGGAACTCTTCTAAGAAGGGGGGGAGGGAATCTTGAAAATTGGAGCTGGGTGAGGTGCTTGAGAACCTTCGGCTAGAAAGCTGTGCCTCCTTCCTCTGGGAACTCCGGTCCCCCAGATTGCCTGAGGAAAAGCAACTGCAATTAAAACAGTTTTAAGTCTGCATGGTGGAAATATGCCCTGAGAGTTTAACTGTCACGCCTAGAAACTGGAGAGATTTTACTGTTGTTTTGTGAAACCGCTGCATGTTCAAGGTCTCTGGTATCTCGCATGTCCCAGCCACACCTGAAGGGCCAGAGTACCTAACTTTCTCTCATTCCCCCTTTAGAGTGTATTTAGCCCGGTCCCAATGCTTACTGTAAAGGACCCGATAGACAGAACGATTGAGTTTGTCCCCACCAAGACGCCCTACGATCCCCGTTGGATGCTCGCCGGACGCCCTCACCCAAGTATGTAAATTGCCTTTGGTTTATGCCGTTAATTGTTAACTTACCTGCTTGAAAATCCAAAAAAAGAGGGGGGGTCCATATTTCTCCATCTCAGCTCTTCTCTCTGTTGGTGACCGGCCTAATTTATCTCTCTGTTTAAATGCTGGTCCCTTACCTTCTGGTGCGCTTTTGCGCAGCTGAGAAACAGGCCAGGCTGAACAGATGTGGAACTGCAGTGCAGATGGGGGAGGAGTGGCTTCAACCACTCTGGGGGCAGGAGGCAAGTTTAGCCCCCAGCCCACATGGACCTTGGATGTGTCCCTCCCCTCCCCCCATTCAGTCCTGTGGTGGAAATAAATGTGTTTGTTTTATCTGAACATTCATCTCCTGCTTCTCCCCATGGCTTGAAGCATTTTACTGTAAATGGGCAATTAAAAAATTACGGTGTTTAAGGGTAAACACATTAAACTGCTATAAAAAGGAATCTCCAACCACTTCCTAAGAAAGTGCCCTTCAGAACAAGTCACTTCTAAGCGGCAGAATGAAAAAATAAATTTTAGCCAATTACAATTTGGGACAAGAGAGTCTTGAATGCCCAGTGGAAAGACAAAAGGGAGGGGGGGTCCCTCCAGATTTCGTACCAGAGGTAGGGGCTCTCACAGCAAAAGACTGCCCTAGTAGAAACCAATCACACTTGACAAACAGACGGAATGGTCAGAAAGCACTGGGTGTGAATACGTAAGGAGAGGAGATCCCTCACTTATGGGACTCACTACGCTTGGGAGTCTCAGTTGCAGAGGCCTGGTTCTCACCAGCACTTCGACCACATGGAGCTGCCCTTGGCTGAATCAGATCATCTGTCCATCAGTACTCAGCCTGGCAGCAGCTCTCCAAAGTCGCAGGCAGAGGTCTTTCACACGTCACCTCCTACCTTGTCCTATTTAACTGGAGATGCCGGGGATTGAACCTGGGACCTTCTCCATGCCAAGCAGAGGCTCTACCGTTGAGCCACTGCCCCTCCCCTCCATCCCACCCAGGGTCCTTGCACGAGACACAAAGCTCTCTTTCACCCACTCCCCCTCTCTCAATGTCGGCCATTTTGCTAGTATCTCTGCATCCAAAAGCCACTTCTCAACTGATGTGTATTTATTCACTTTTTGTTTTTGTAAAGAAGGGAGCAGCAATGTCATTTTTTTTAATTTATTTATTTGCTGAGAAAAGAATGCGTACCTGAGGGGAACTAGACTTTACTCCATCCTTATTCTCAGCACCTGCTGTGCTTCTGGAGAGGAGGAGATTGGGTTTATACCCCTGCCCTTCACTACCCAAAGGAGTCTCAGAGCGGCTTACAAACTCCTTTCCCTTCCCCTCCCCACAACAGGAAAATGCTTCCTGTAAAGAGGCAGAGAGACTAAGTAAGGTGGAAGAGAGCCAGCTGCATTATCTGTTTTTTGTTCGTTTGATTAAAAACAAGACTCCTCCACTCCAGTTTTACAACTGAAGGGGTGGATATGCAAATAAATACATGTGGATCCCCACCCCGCCCCCTGGACATCAATTTGTTTGGTTTTTAGTGTAAATAAAAAACAGAATCCAGATGGAGCCATGCAGTTGAGGGCCGGCTTGAGTCGCGCTGCCTTCTGTTGAGTTTGGGGGGTCACGTCAAGCTACTTTCTGGGAAGGAGCAAACCCGGCATCACAATCCCACATGTCACAGTTCCAAATAGGCACTAATAGCAAGACCACATTTAAGTTGCTTTATAGTGCCCCTAGATTTACATTGATCTTCGACGTGGTCTCTGTGCTTCACACCCATGGGATCTAGTGCGCACGCGCTAGATCGATCGGCATTGTAGCAAGCTCTTAGCGGATTTTCGCGCCCAGACCTCGGGCATGCGCAGGAACCCCACCGTGCATGCCCAGAGGGGTGGGCGCGGACATTCCGCCAGTTCCTTTCTTACCGCTGCGTTGGAAAGACCCTTTCTTTGTCAGTCTGATCGGTTTGCTTTTTTGGCTACTTTGCCTCACGGCTCTTCGGATTTTTTCCTCCGTTTTATTATTTTTCTCACTCTTCTTCGTTTGTTCTTCAAAAAAACTCAAAAAAATGGTTTGTTTGGGGAAGTTGCTGGTTTTACCTCAGTTTAGCCTTCGGGCTCCCCCCCCCCCAACCCCTTCTTTTTCCTCCTTCTGGTATTTTTTATGAAGAAGTGGGGTTTTTTCAACCACTGTAAGGGTTGCAGCAGCAAACTAACTCCACTTGACCGCCACACCCTTTGTATTTTTTGTTTGGGGGAGTCTCATCGACCTGAGTCTTGACGGCACTGTGCCAGGTTTTTTAACCAGACACAGAAAAACCGAGCTGCTTGCCTTAAAGTGGCGCTCCCTGAGTCGGTGTTACATCCTCCCTCAGCGATGGAGTCCGAGAGACCATCGACATCGACGGCTCCGGCATCGAGGCCTACCTCCGACATCGGCCAACCAACCTTGAAACCACCGGCATCGAAGGCGCAATCCTCCGCTTCCACTCCAATGAAGAAGAAGCCCAAGCCAAGTAAGGAGCACAAGTCTGCAAAAAAGGGCTCCTCTAAGTCCCTAAAGGCGGCAAAGAAGGGGAAGGTAGCGGTGCCTGCACTGGGTGATGCCTTAAATGTGCCTCCCGCGCCAACGGCAGTATCGACATCGGAGGTCCATACCTCTCCACCGATTCCGACCATTCACCTACTGGACTCCCCTATACAACAATTAGAGGACTGTCCTTACTCCGATATCGAGACGGTACAGCTCCTTACTCGTCCTATGGATTCAGAGGCTTCTCCCTCTCCTTCCCTGTCGTCGACATCAACGGTGTCAGAAGCTCCCGGCATCAATTCACGTCGGAATTGAAACGCCTCTACCAGCACGCAGCGTCACTCTCCACGTCTACTTCTTGAACCTGCTGATATCGATGACCGAGATTATAGGGACCACTCTCACAGACAAGCGGCTCCTTTGTCTCCGAGATGTGCCCATTCCAGAAGTCAATCCCCCCGAGTTTTTATACCCCCACCACCACCTCTGTCTTGGGATCAACACCAGCTGAGGTATCTCTACGGGGGTTATCCACCATCCATGCCGTGGTTGACTCCGGCGGGCTATTTAGACTGGGATCGGTACTCGACCCATTCTGTCCACAGGTCAAGGTCGCCCTACAAATCCAGACCTTCAGCATCTCTGTCTCATCCTCCGGCAGACGATCCTTCCCACCATAATTTGGAACTTTGTCGTCCCAACCCCCAAGTCGTACCACCAAAGATTTTAACTACTCAAACGGAAGTCACTCTATTCAAGTGCCAGATCAGGACTCCTCTAATTCCGCAGAAGAGGATTCTGATACTGAGGCCTC